GTTATTTGAATAAATAAGTTTCATTGTATTGATATCGACACCTCATCCCATAAATTTGTACTTGCTCAAAGTACATATCACTTCCAAGCGCCTTCAATGTTAAATGTCCAGCCACTATCATCATATTGGCCAAAAGTTGCGGAGTACAATATTTAGCAGTACCCTTATGCTCATCATCTCCTTTCGTATGAATCTCCATTTCATTGTCCAGAATTACGGCTATACCTGAAGGTGTTCCAGCTACATTTTTTGGTATTAAACAGAAGTCAGGTCTTGATTTATGATACAACGACACACCTATGTCATCCAGTGTTCTATTATTGCCCATTATTTTGTACTTGTTGGAAATTCCAGAAGATTTGAGCCACTTTATTAACATATCTTTACGATTAGCTTTAACTGGCTTAATTTCAATATTCGGCTTTAAACTTTTTACAAAACCATCTAAATCTGATGAAGAGTCATAAACATCAAGTACCATTTCCTTAGGCAACAAATCAGTGCTAATATACAATCTTGGTAGATCCAAAGGCTTCATTTGACAAATTCTGTCAATATCATCAACAGATTTAGGAACCAGCTGTTTACCAAATGAAAATTGGTTTAACGTTGCTGAAGAGGCTCGAAGAGTTTTTGAAAATGTGTAGATAAATTTTCGCATGCCCCATCTTACATAGGACCCATCCAATGAACATTTACGGCCAGCTTTCAGTGGCCGGAGCTGCTCTGGTAAAATGTTGGCCTCTATACGACGATCGGTAAATATACAATTTCAAGGTAGAGGCACTTCTAAAATTGCTGGCTGTAGCACATCCACCAAACAAAACTTTCTAAAAAGGAACAAGAGTAAGTGCAAAAATAATTCTAAGATATTCTACTAATAAGATTGTTTCCACCATAGCTGGGTTCTCAAAAGTCATTAGACAGTGAGTATATACCTCTGCTCAAAACACTGTCTCCACACCCACTTTAAAAGGAAGTTTGGGCATGTTAGTTGCTAAGCTGCTTATTCACAATTTCCCATGTCAAGTGTGACACATATACACATGCTACAGTGAAACTAATCTTAGGAGCAACCCCAGGGCATAAAAATTAAATTTAGTGCTTACATCTTATGCGTATCTTGCACACAGAACTCAAACTTGTTAAGTATTTCCTTCTTTTTGCTCTCCAGCTTTTTCAAATCCTTTTTCAAAGAACAGATCTCATTGCTCACATTATAAAGCTGATTGATCAACCGTAATGAATACGTAGTGTTACCACAAGATAAAAAGGCTTTCTCTTGCTTCTCAAGTTCCTCAATTAACAGCTTTTGGTTGTTTACTTCTTGACAAATGGTAGTTAATGGAAATGAAGACAGTCGCATCTGTGTGAGAAAAAAGAGTGTTATATTGCACTATTACATACTCTGTGTGTTGTTCAGTTCATGTTATAGTGCAACTTACATGCACTATAGCACATACTTTATGTGTTCCTTATATAATAACAAAGTCAAGAAAGGTATTGATAACATAACTACACCTAAAAAATCTTTACAGTATAGCTTTCATTGTAAATTATCCAAAACTTATAAGTAAACAACAATTGCTCTGAGAAATAACATTGGTTGACTACAATTGATGCATGAAATTGAAACTCAGTTATACACTTTACCTTTTTATCTCCTCCATTATGATATTCCTTGAGCCATGCTGTACGAGTGCCGACCATGCTTGCTAACATTGGTAGCTTTTGCTGCCTTGCAGAAGATAGGCATACATTTTTCGCCAGGGCAGGTAGCATCATGTTTTGCTAAATAATAAGCTAAAGTTGACTCTAAAATAACAAAATAATGTCAAGTAAAATTTATAATATTCTACTGCATAGTATAGATCTAATGACCAACAGAAACACATTAGCTTGACTGCAATACATATTTAACAAGGCTATGGTGGATTATACCAGCATAACAACATAATAGGGCCCAATGCATAAAAAAGATATAATTATAATATTTAAAATCAATTGAACTTTGTTGACAGAATGACAACCCAAGCGTGGCCAAGTCCAATGAGCATACAATTATTTG